TCCAAACGAAGCTAAAGTTTACTCAGTACTGAGCAACTCACTGTAGTGGCGTTGCTGAATGAATCCCTTTGAATCGGTTAAGTATTGGCCAAATATGATTCATGACTCACTCTGGACATTTGTCTCCACCTACTGGCATGGTGAAGCAAATCAGGAAAGTCCCCACCACTAATGGATTCACATTTAGTGCAAACAAGTCCTCCTTATAGGCCCCGTCCACACTACTGCTTTTTCGTTTAAAAACGGAGAATTAAAACGAATACGATCTCCGTCCACACCAGCGTTTTATCTGCATATTAGAAATGATCTCCGTCCACATTAAAACGACTGAAAACGTGGATCACGCGACCATTCACCAACACTGGTGAATGTGCCGGTGTAAACAGGGGCTGACAAATCAGGGAAGGACACGTCATGACTGATGACACCAAATCACAGAGCCGAGCGTCAGCCTCTGCGTCATCGCTTCTAAACTCCTCAATTTAGTCCCCGTCTTCACTAAAACGCCCTCCGGAGATTCAAAAGGCAAAACGGAGCTGCAGCGTTTCTAAACTTCTCCGTTTTAGGTCTTAATTTTTTCCGTTTTAGTCTGGACGGGAGGTGCAAATGTAGCAAAAGGTCTCCGTTTTTAAACGAAAACGCTGTAATGTGGACGGGGCCTAAGGCCCTGTTTACACGAGAACGCTAGTGGGTGAAAACGTAAAAATATTTTATCGGATGTGCCTTTCGTTTACACGGCGACGGCGTTTTGGGGGCTTAAAAACGCAAAAAAGTGAAACCACTCTCCAGAGTGGAAATCTTAAAAACGCTAAACCATCACATTCCCGTGTAAAGGGTAAAAACGCAAAAGTGCGCTGAACTGTGCAGAATATCATATGGTCCGTTGTTTTCGGAAGAAATACAAACACAAACGGTTTTCTTCTCTTCAATATGTACATGCAGTCTACTGTTCGCGCTCACTTTATCACCTTATTCACATCTCACCGGTGCACATGGATCGGCGTTCGTAGATCGACTGGTAGAGACTATTTTTCAAAGATGGCTTCTTCCTGTATTCGCGAAGTTGACTGTGTGTATAAAGTATCTTCTTATTAAACTGTATGGACACTGACAAAGTTCTCAATGCTTCGGTTTAAATGTAGAGACCCTTATTATGCTGTCGTGTTAGTGTGGGGGTATTTTGAGCCTTGTTATTGGTAATAACAAGCGATTTTTATTTGTCATTACTCTATGCCCTATATACTAGCGTTATAGGCTAAACTGTTTTTAGAGATAAAACTATTTACATTCGGCAATCATGAAAACAAATCTCAGATAATGGTTGACTAGGTAACAATGTGTAATTAGACCAAAGGTTCATTTTGCGCCGGAGTTCTCCTTTAAATAAACCCCCGGGCTTCCCACGACATTGTGGTGGTGTTCATGTGCGCCATCACTCCTAAATCCGATCTCTCCGACATGACTTGAATGTGTCATCTGTATGGAACGTATGAAAGCTTGTTTCTGCCACAGAAAAAAAATAAATAAAAAGATAATTGCTCCTTTTTTATTTCGCAATTCTGATATTTTCTTCTTAGAACTGTGAGATACAAACTAGCAATTCTGAGGAAGAGGACTGTGGAATATAACATGAAGGTGTTGTGTAAGTGTTAAGTTCACATTATAGACCGGGCCTCTAACTGAAAGGCCGCTGTAAAATTGTTATAGATTGACAAACAGTGCATGAAAGCGAAACTGTCAGTGACTGCTGGGACAATATGAAATAAACAAGAAATGTAATCTGTTCCTGGCCCAGGGCATTAATAGTGCCTTCTAAACACTTAGCAGAAGAGATAATAATGTACCACAACCATATAGCCATCAAAGCTATGTATTACGAACAAGGACAGATTATGGGGCCTGTGAGGTCCCGGGGCATTAGCCTCTTTGGATATAAAGCTCTATCACAAATAAGAGAAATATTGACATACATTTACGAGAATGAACACCATCAGGTGCGGTACTTTCTTCATTTTTTTCATATTTTGTTTCCAAGTGTCAGGGCACCACAGGCTAACAGAAGCCCCAAAGCACTGACCCCGAAGTTTGCGAATTTATATCTCACAATTGTGATTTCTTGTTATTTGAATTAGAGATTGACCGAAAAACCAATGCAAAAATCCATATCGATCGTTTTTTCTTAATTGCGTCATTTGCTGGAGTGACTGAGAAGGGTCTTCTGTCTTTAAAGTCCCACTAAAGTGCCCTTAAACGCACAGCAATATTCAATGTGTTGTTGTAATTTCCACTGAAACAGGAAGACAGGACTTTTTTAGCCAATATCACAGCTCGGCCAGAGCCGTTGAGCCGTAGTTTCCTCCTTATCTCTAACCATTTCTCCTCCTAATCTTCTCCATATCGTTGTAAAATACAGCATTCTGTGCAGACTTCAAATGGGTCTGATCCATATTTTTGCACATTTGATCCGATCTGTGTCGTGTCTCTGGACCAGAGCTGCCGTGGTTCGTGTGACACTGACCTGAAACCAGACTCCATTTCATTTTAAACTTCTTCAAACTTTCTGGTCCAAACTTTCACAAGACAACTTAAAGTTTGTCTCGACAAACTTTTTAATCAGACTTCATTCACCCCACACTGAATCATTCACCAGGTAATAAATGTATGAAAATGATCGATTTCAGGCACAGCTTCAGCGGCCGTTTATAATGTAGGGGGCGGAGTTTCAGATTCTAGAGAGAATTTGATTGGACAGAAAACATGACGAGAGGCTGAATTGCAGAGTGATGTCATCACAATCACGGATCCAAATTGGTGGAAGTGAGAGACTGTAAGTTTGGCTTATATCTTTTAAATGCCAATATTGTAATTATTTTGGAGCACACAAGCTTATAGATAACAGTAAGGCTTAACATATTCATACTTAAAGCCAGAAAACTTCCATTTTGATATCATGGGGACTTTAAACAGTATACGAGAGCGGCCTCTAGAGGTGGAACACAAACTGTCACTGACGCCTCGCGGTGTTTTCTGACACGCGTGAGGCCACGCGCTGCACAGAAGATGCAGATTTAAAACGAACGAACGTAGAGTCAGACCGATATTATCGGCCGATATTGGGCATTTTCCAAAATATCGGTATCAGCCGTTATAATGGCCCATAAATGAATATTTAAAAAATAAAATAAAAACGGACGAAACACACTTCAATCATCTCTCCTTGGCCTGTTATATTGAAAATGTATGTTTTACAATTTACAGTATGATGTTATCTATTGCTAAATTATGGCTCATCATAGACTAGCTAACCACAAAGCTAGCTAATGCCACTATCATCAGTGGAAGACCGCTAACGTTAACATTAATGAGCTTGGAAACCACAATGAACTTTTTCTGCCTAAATAAAGTAATGATTACTGTATTTATAACTAGCATATCTCTAGTTACAGTGCCTGCATTGTAAAATGTAAATTATACTTGCGAGGAGTGAACATTTAGACATAGAGAAAAAGTATCAAACGTATCTTGTGCAGAAAAGTTAGCATTTCTTTTACACGTGTGAAATCCAACAATATTTTTTTAAAAAAATATCGGCCGATATATCGGATTTTAAAACCCAAAAATATTTGTATCAGTATCTGCCTTCAAAATCCTTTATCGATCGGGCTCTAATACACACCTAGGATGACTTGAGGGTGAGTAAATCATGGGAGTTAAATCAACTATCACTTTAGGATAGCTTCCTCTTATAGTAACTAATGTGTGAGTGTATTTAGCAATGATGACAGAATCAATTCATGTGTGAAAGCAGATGGAGAAAAGGGGTGGAAATATTGCAGTTCTTGACATTTAAACCCCAGTTAAACGTCTACTATTTGGCACTGAGGTCCACCACGAGATGCTGGTACGCCATGGTCTTTCCTTTAAAACTGGCCGCTAACAGAATATCCTTATTGTCAATAGACACCAGACTGAACCCTCGAGGCGCCAGCATGTTCAGTTCCTGAAAGGGCAGGAACCTTTGAGTGAGGTCGTCCCACAGATAGATCCGAGAGAAGGAATAGTCGCTCCCCAGCAGAAGGTACTGCCTCACCCCGACGCTGAACGGATACACGGCCATCGAGCCGCGTGACGGCAGGGTTTGGATCTCCACGAAGCGCTGGTTGTCCCAGCGCAGGATCTTCGAGTCGCCAATGAAGCGCGTGAGGCAGAGATACAGCACTTTTCGCAACCAGAAGTGCTTCAGAATATTATAAAGTTTTCTGAAGGATCACGTAAAAAGTGTGTCCAAATGTGTGTAAATAAAAATATACAACATTTAAAATGAAATGTTGTATAAATGAAAAGGTTAGGAATCATATTTGTTTCAAGAGTTTTTTTTTTATTGGGTTAGTTTACCAACATGAATATTGCCTGGGGCAGGGGTCTCCAACCTTTTTTCACTTGAGAGCTACTTTTAAAAAATGAAAGTGGCCGAGAGCTACAATACTTAAATCTCTTAAATAACGCCTCATAACTATCCTATTAACAACCATCCAAAACTGTTTAGACCTAAGAGTCTGTGTAGGCCTGTATATGTCATCCTTTAATGTCACAGAAAAGAACAGAATCAGAAAAATGTACTATTTTACTGTAGAAACACATAACTATTGATTTTAGTTGTAAAATTCCATTTCATGATTATAGTGACCAAAATGATCACGGTTATCACGGAATGCTGTTTAAATAAATTAGCATCAATATGCACATTTTACATAAACATTAAAAATGATGGCCAGATTTAAAAGGAGTGTTTGCAACATAAAGTTTTGAGAAAAAAAAGGTTTTATAAAAAGATAAACCTCACATATTTCTGTAGCTACTAAAAGAATTTTTAAAAAAAAGAGAGTCAAAAAAGATAAATGCTGACATTTACAATGCATATTAGCTTATCTTTTATTATTAATAGTCAAATTCTGGCCCTGGTCTATAATTCATATTTAGGCTATGAGACAATTTGTCATTTTCAAAAAACTTTTTTTTATTTTAAACTCATTTATTGCTCATTAGTTGGGTGTGACCGGGCATGGCGGCGGTCGCACACCAGATTAAACCACCTGATGGTTTATCTCGGTGTGTGTCGGTGGCTTTGTCAGACATGCGATTCTTCCTCACTGCTCCTGTAAAAAGCACACAAAGCAAAGAAACAAAGACTAAATATTAGATTCAATATTCAAAGATTCTTTATTACACGACATTAGTAAAATGCTAGCACAAATAAATAATAATGCATGTGACTAAAGTGGGGTGGAGTGAGTAATATTAAGGTAAAAGAGTATCAAAACTTGAGAGCACGTAGATGTGAATTTGAGAATTTGCCCAATAAATATTCATACTTGTACATGAACATTTACACAAACCTGTAAAATTGAATGTTAAAAAATGCAATTATATATTACAAGTTTGTGTCTGTCATTGTATTTCTGTGAATGGCATTTTACACATTTGTGACTAGACTACTTGTCTGCAGCTTCAAATTCTGAATACAGGTTTGTGACTTTTGTCTGCGAGTGCAAATTTTAACATTCAACTTTAGATTTTAATTTTACCTTCATGGACTAGTGAATGAATGAATGAATGGGAGAGTGGTGATTAGGTAACGTGAAAGGCATCTATATATAATACTTACAGCCAAAATGGCCTTTGGCTGGTTACAATGTTTTTGGTATCTCTTCCACCAATGGAGGCCAGCATTCAAACCTGTGGAAACAAAAGACTAAATTAGTAAGAAAAGATTGATAAATGATAGAGAGGTATGGGCAACATATTCATAGACAGTATATTCTGATTTACAGGATAATAAAAGTAGATATCCATAAATAGCTCTGTAATTATTTCTCCAACTAACATAATTTCACAAACAGCTTGTTTAAAAAATTAATAAAAGAGGCAGGTAGTTTGATAGCTAATAGATCATATATGTTGATGTCGCACTGTACAGCCGGTATAATACTGAGAGAATTGCTGGTACTGACGTCCAACTAGTTTAATGTATTTGGACGAATTTGGTAAGACATTCATTTGTTATTGTTTTAGTAGCTAGCTAGCTAGCCGCGGTCACCGCTAGTAACTTTGGTGGGTAGCGCAATGGCTAACGTTATACGATTTTGCAGCTAAAACACAATTTGGTCACGTTATTCAGCAATTTTTGTGAATAATAAGCAAATATCACCAATTCAGCCTTAAAGCCTATATGTTCACATTAGTTGTGGATGTTTAAAAGAACATACGGCATACTACCAGCTTATCTGACACGTCGTACAAACGTTTATAAACTCATATTTTTAGTATATGTAGCAGACTAACATGACATCAACACCAGTTTACTTTTATAATGTAACTTTACTTACTAAATTATACTTGTACAATGCACTTGCCAATTAGCAAAGACGGTGCATCCTGCAGTCTTCCACTCTTGTCAGCGGGTTTATGAGGGGTGGCACTGGTCCTGTAGCTAGCGAACGATGGATGGCCTAGGGCCTCCTGATGTCTAGAAAGAGCCCTGAGATGGATGATAACCTTCTGAGTCTAGCATATCTGGCTGATAACCACTGATGACGCCCATTCAGTCGAGTGATAACATTCACATTTTAGTTTCTTGAGGTCCAAGCCTCTTTTGGACCACTCTTCACCCCATCAGAAGGCGAAGATTCTGCTTTTGACTTTCTATAAATGTACATGAGGAGTGAAGGAGGCCTTCTGTCACCCATCGGGAGATGGGGTGTCACAAATGACTTCAATTTCTTCAGGGTGAAATTATTAGTCTTCTGACGTACGTTCTGGATCAGATCTCCAATTTCTGCCACGTGTCTTTTTTCCATACTGTCTTGAAGGCTTTTCTTTGGCTCCTTAATGGAAGAAGCTATCTCCTGCTTCAACCCATCTTTCACCCGCTGAACCTCATCTTTGTTCACCCGCTGCAGCATTGGGCTTGGAGACGAACCTTCTGGGAGATTAAATCTGGCTTTTCGACCTTTCTTCACTTTCTTTGCCTGCTTTGTGGGGAAAGCGTTGCTCTCCGGACTGAGGCTCTGAGGCACAGTTTCTGGAGGATGAGTGAAGTCAACATCTTCTTCGTTCTTTAGCTCATCTACTGAGGAAACATTTGTCTGAAGTACCTCAACAGAAGAAGCGTTCGCCTGGAGTGTCTCTTTAGAAGAACCATTTTCCTGTAGGAAGTTTTGTCTATCCTGTTGTTGTCTCTGGGCTACAGCTCTTCGAGGTGGTGTAACCTTGACCCCTGTCTTTGTCTCCCAAGACCTTTTACTTTGAAATGGTTCAAAGCTCGTTGAACCGGTCGTCTCCTCAGGTACACTCTGCTTCGTTTCGCCGAGAGTAAAATTCTTGAACTTTTCCAAGATCCGAGTTCTGTCTTCCTCTACTTGTGCCTTTACATAGATCTCCCTTTCGGCACAATAATATCTGCTGAATTTAGGAAACGGCGCCAAACTCCTGACGACAGAGTTGGGGATATAACCATCAGGAGCAATGGGCCAGATTATTTTTTGGTCGGGGAGATTCCCCTGCTTACCGATTTTATCCGCCAGTTTGGTTGGTAGCATCGTGAGTAAAGTGACCACAAACGAACAATCACGCTGTAAAACAGTCTGTGAGGAATCGCCCGAACATGCCTGTTGCCTACTCCTTTGACGTCTTCGCTCTGACGTCAAACATTCCAGGCACGTGCTTGTTTGAAGAGCGTAAGCTATCTTTAAAAGTAAACAACACGTTCAAAACAAAATAACAATTTTGAGCACACAATACCATATTAAAATGACTTGATATACATAACGTCGAATGAGCAACCTGTTTTGAGACTCTGTAAGCCGGAATATCGGACCGGATCGGCATTCTCAACTGCCAAATAAGTTGTCTAAAATGTATTTTTATTTATTGTATTAATAATACTGATAGGCCTACTGTTATTGCTGTTAGTACACAGAAATAATGTGATTACTGATGCTGTCAAAATCGACGTGTTGGTAGCTAGCCTACTACTAGGCTGCACATTGAAATGCGATGATGATAAACCCAAAAAAGTTCTCAAAAAACATTTTTTTTTTAAATTTATATATTATTATAAATATCTTGAATAAAGCGTGAACCTACAAATCAATCAACCTACCGGATAGATTGTAAAAAATACTTAGATAAGCTCCAAAAACCTAATTTTAGATAAAATTAGAGAATTAGATTTAAATGTAACAAAATCATTAGATACAAATACAATCCTTAACGATCATCGACTTCACGAGGAGACAATAAAGCACCATTCGCGCTCATATTCATGCATATTTCATGCAGTTTGGTCCTTGTTTGATAGAATCAAAATTTAGGAGCATTTTTTGTAAATCAATCAACAGTTTAAAATTATATAATCCATAGCCTACTAATGTAGGCCTATACTTATCTTTCTTTTATCAAGAAATTGGCTACTTTCTGCATGCATTTTTGAGGACTTTTAAACACAGAATTAGCGTTCACTAAATGTTTAGATTTCTATGTGATCCCACACTGCCCCCTGCAGGCCTCAGATGACTGTCCCATGGCGCAGATGGTCAGTCACTGTTGGCACATGGATGGAGATAGACAGATGAAGCAGGAAAGAAAAACCCCTTCATCTTTGGAGGCTATGGACAAAAAAAGACTGAGAGAGGGTGAAAGGATCAATGGTAAGTATTTTCCACTATACATTTCATTTTGATTGTTTTTGAGCTAAATTATGACCCATTTACCTCATCACAGCACACTTATAATCAGACAGTGTGATAAAGACATGGTAACAACCAGAGAGCCTGCATTCAATAATAATAATAATATTCAATGCAAGATATTTCAACTTTATTTTGTCGCGTCATAAATTACATTTCCACCACAGTCAGTTATTGCAATACATGCTGATGGCAGCAGATGTTTTATAATGACATGCCAATTAGTAATTCAGCGTATTGTTCCCAAGTAGTCAATATTTTCAGAGAATAATCTGCATAGAAAAGCAAAGCCTTAACAGTCAAGCTCAACTGAGTGATGAAAATGTTATTTTTCTTGGTAACACATTATATTCTAAAAGTACCTATACAGACATTTTCGTGTTATGATGATCATGAATCAGGGAGTCATCTGTCTAAAATATAATTTCACTTTTTTTATATATATATATATATGAAAGTGCTGAACATACAACATATTCATTGCAATGCATACGGTAAATGTTCATTTAGATTTGAAGGCCCAAATGGGTAATCGGTAGTAGTAGTTTTTATTAGTAGTAGTGTATATTAACATGTTGTTGTTTTTTTGTTAAAAGGGTAGTTTACCCAAAAATGAAAATTAGCCCATGATTTACTCACCCTCTTCGTCTGAAAGACTTTGCTCTTTCAGACGAATACAATCAGACTTACATATATATTTATAAAAAAAAGCTTTATAATGGCAGTGAAAGGCTGTTTCTGTTTTGAAGTCCATAAAAGTGCATCTATCCATCATAACTGAACACCACACGGCTCTGGGGGTTAATAAAGGTTAATAATAATTCATATTTAACATGTTACAAAGTAAAATTCGAGCTTCCTGCCAAACGGCCATATGCAGTCTAAAGTTTTGTACCTAAAGCGCAAATTGTGACGTCAGAAGTATTGCAGTGCATCATGGCGTAGCGTAAATATCGGCAGTTTTACTATTACTATATTACTAGCATAAATTGCGCTTTAGACTTGGTAGTGTCTAAAGTGGAATCCGTATGTCTAGAATTTGCTAGAATTTGACTTTAAATTTGACTTTGAATTTGACTTTGTAACTTGTTAAATAAGACGTTTTTTTCTTAAACTCATTGCTTCACTTCCAAAGGCCTTTATTAACCCTCGGAGCCGTATGGAGCACTTTTATGATGGATGGATGCACTTTTATGGACTTCGAAACAGAAACAGCCATTCACTCCCGCTATAAAGTTTAGAAGAGCCAGGGCATTTTTTAATATAACTCTGATTATATACGTCTGAAAGAGGCATGATGCCTCTTTCAGACGTATATAATCAGAGTTATATTAAAAAATGCCCTTGCTCTTCTAAACTTTATAGCGGGAGTGAATGGCTGTTGCTGTTTCTTTATAATTGCCATTATAAAGCTTTTTTTTATAAATATATATGTAACTCCGATTGTATTCGTCTGAAAGAGCAAAGTCATATACACCTTGAGGGTGAGTAAATCATGGGCTAATTTTCATTTTTGGGTAAACTACCCTTTTAACAAAAAAAACAACAACATGTTAATATACACTAATAAAAACTACTACTACCGATTACCCATTTGGGCCTTCAAATCTAAATGAACATTTACTGTATGCATTGCAATGAATATGTTGTATGTTCAGCACTTTCATATATATATATATATATAAAAAGTGAAATTATATTTTTAGACGGATGACTCCCTGATTCATGATCATCATAACACGAAAATGTCTGTAGGTACTTTTAGAATATAATGTGTTACCAAGAAAAATAACATTTTCATCACTCAGTTGAGCTTGACTGTTAAGGCTTTGCTTTTCTATGCAGATTATTCTCTGAAAATATTGACTACTTGGGAACAATACGCTGAATTACTAATTGGCATGTCATTATAAAACATCTGCTGTCATCAGCATTTATTGCAATAACTGACTGTGGTGGAAATGTAATTTATGACGCGACAAAATAAAGTTGAAATATCTTGCATATGAATATTATTATTATTATTGAATGCAGGCTCTCTGGTTGTTACCATGTCTTTATCACACTGTCTGATTATAAGTGTGCTGTGATGAGGTAAATGGGTCATAATTTAGCTCAAAAACAATCAAAATGAAATGTATAGTGGAAAATACTTACCATTGATCCTTTCACCCTGTCTCAGTATTTTTTTGTCCATAGCCTCCAAAGATGAAGGGGTTTTTCTTTCCTGCTTCATCTGTCTATCTCCATTCAGGTGCCAACAGTGACTGACCATCTGCGCCATGGGACAGTCATCTGAGGCCTGCAGGGGGCAGTGTGGGATAGAAATCTAAACATTTAGTGAATGTTAATTCTGTGTTTAAAAGTCCTCAAATATGCATGCAGAAAGTAGCCAATTTCTTGAAAAGAAAGATAAGTATAGGCCTAGATTAGTAGGCTATGGATTATATAATTTTAAACTGTTAATTGATTTACAAAAAATGCTCCTAAATTTTGATTCTATCAAACAAGGACCAAACTGCATGAAATATGCATGAATATGAGCGCGAATGGTGCTTTATTGTCTCCTCGTGAAGTTGATGATCGTTAAGGATTGTATTTGTATCTAATGATTTTGTTACATTTAAATCTAATTCTCCAATTTTATCTAAAATTAGGTTTTTGGAGCTTATCTAAGTATTTTGTACAATCTATCCGGTAGGTTGACTGATTTGTAGGTTCACGCTTTATTCAAGATATTTATAACAATATATAAATTTTAAAAAAATGTTTTTTGAGAACTTTTTTGGGTTTATCATCATCGCATTTCAATGTGAAGCAGCCTATGTAGTAGGCTAGCTACCAACACGTCGATTTTGACAGCATCAGTAATCACATTATTTCTGTGCACTAACAGCAATAACAGTAGGCCTATCAGTATTATTAATACAATAAATAAAAATACATTTTAGACAACTTATTTGGCAGTTGAGAATGCCGATCCGGTCCGATATTCCGGCTTACAGAGTCTCAAAACAGGTTGCTCATTCTACGTTATGTATATCAAGTCATTTTAATATGGTATTGTGTGCTCAAAATTGTTATTTTGTTTTGAACGTGTTGTTTACTTTTAAAGATAGCTTACGCTCTTCAAACAAGCACGTGCCTGGAATGTTTGACGTCAGAGCGAAGACGTCAAAGGAGTAGGCAACAGGCATGTTCGGGCGATTCCTCACAGACTGTTTTACAGCGTGATTGTTCGTTTGTGGTCACTTTACTCACGATGCTACCAACCAAACTGGCGGATAAAATCGGTAAGCAGGGGAATCTCCCTGACCAAAAAATAATCTGGCCCATTGCTCCTGATGGTTATATCCCCAACTCTGTCGTCAGGAGTTTGGCGCCGTTTCCTAAATTCAGCAGATATTATTGTGCCGAAAGGGAGATCTATGTAAAGGCACAAGTAGAGGAAGACAGAACTCGGATCTTGGAAAAGTTCAAGAATTTTACTCTCGGCGAAACGAAGCAGAGTGTACCTGAGGAGACGGCCGGTTCAACGAGCTTTGAACCATTTCAAAGTAAAAGGTCTTGGGAGACAAAGACAGGGGTCAAGGTTACACCACCTCGAAGAGCTGCAGCCCAGAGACAACAACATATGCTTCAGGATAGACAAAACTTCCTACAGGAAAATGGTTCTTCTAAAGAGACACTCCAGGCGAACGCTTCTTCTGTTGAGGAACTTCAGACAAATGTTTCCTCAGTAGATGAGCTAAAGAACGAAGAAGATGTTGACTTCACTCATCCTCCAGAAACTGTGCCTCAGAGCCTCAGTCCGGAGAGCAATGCTTTCCCCACAAAGCAGGCAAAGAAAGTGAAGAAAGGTCGAAAAGCCAGATTTAATCTCCCAGAAGGTTCGTCTCCAAGCCCAATGCTGCAGCGGGTGAACAAAGATGAGGTTCAGCGGGTGAAAGATGGGTTGAAGCAGGAGATAGCTTCTTCCATTAAGGAGCCAAAGAAAAGCCTTCAAGACAGTATGGAAAAAAGACATGTGGCAGAAATTGGAGATCTGATCCAGAACGTACGTCAGAAGACTAATAATTTCACCCTGAAGAAATTGAAGTCATTTGTGACACCCCATCTCCCGATGGGTGACAGAAGGCCTCCTTCACTCCTCATGTACATTTATAGAAAGTCAAAAGCAGAATCTTCGCCTTCTGATGGGGTGAAGAATGGTCCAAAAGAGGCTTGGACCTCAAGAAACTAAAATGTGAATGTTGTCACTCGACTGAATGGGCGTCATCAGTGGTTATCAGCCAGATATGCTAGACTCAGAAGGTTATCATCCATCTCAGGGCTCTTTCTAGACATCAGGAGGCCCTATAGGCCATCCATCATTCGCTAGCTACAGGACCAGTGCCACCCCTCATAAACCCGCTGACAAGAGTGGAAGACTGCAGGATGCACCGTCTTTGCTAATTGGCAAGTGCATTGTACAAGTATAATTTAGTAAGTAAAGTTACATTATAAAAGTAAACTGGTGTTGATGTCATGTTAGTCTGCTACATATACTAAAAATATAAGTTTATAAACGTTTGTACTGACATTCAACCTGAGACGTGTCAGATAAGCTGGTAGTATGCCGTATGTTCTTTTAAACATCCACAACTAATGTGAACATATAGGCTTTAAGGCTGAATTGGTGATATTTGCTTATTATTCACAAAAACTGCTGAATAACGTGACCAAATTGTGTGTTAGCTGCAAAATCGTATAACGTTAGCCATTGCGCTACCCACCAAAGTTACTAGCGGTGACCGCGGCTAGCTAGCTAGCTAGCTACTAAAACAATAACAAATGAATGTCTTACCAAATTCATCCAAATACATTAAACTAGTTGGACGTCAGTACCAGCAATTCTCTCAGTATTATTCCGGCTGTACAGTACGACATCAACATATATGATCTATTAGCTATCAAACTACCTGCCTCTTTTATTAATTTTTTTAACAAGCTGTTTGTGAAATTATGTTAGTTGGAGAAATAATTACAGAGCTATTTATGGATATCTACTTTTATTATCCTGTAAATCAGAATATACTGTCTATAAATATGTTGCCCATACCTCTCTATCATTTATCAATCTTTTCTTACTAATTTAGTCTTTTGTTTCCACAGGTGGGAATGCTGGCCTCCATTGGTGGAAGAGATACCAAAAACATTGTAACCAGCCAAAGGCCATTTTGGCTGTAAGTATTATATATAGATGCCTTTCACGTTACCTAATCACCACTCTCCCATTCATTCATTCATTCACTAGTCCATGAAGGTACAATTAAAATCTAAAGTTGAATGTTAAAATTTGCACTCACAGACAAAAGTCACAAACCTGTATTCAGAATTTGAAGCTGCAGACAAGTAGTCTAGTCACAAATGTGTAAAATGCCATTCACAGAAATACAATGACAGACACAAACTTGTAATATATAATTGCATTTTTTAACATTCAATTTTACAGGTTTGTGTAAATGTTCATGTACAAGTATGAATATTAATTTATTGGGCAAATTCTCAAATTCACATCTACGTGCTCTCGAGTTTTGATACTCTTTTACCTTAATATTACTCACTCCACCCCACTTTAGTCACATGTATTATTATTTATTTGTGCTAGCATTTTACTAATGTCATGTAATAAAGAATAAAGAATTTGAATATTGAATCTAATATTTAGTCTTTGTTTCTTTGCTTTGTGTGCTTTTTACAGGAGCAGTGAGGAAGAATCGCATGTCTGACAAAGCCACCGACACACACCGAGATAAACCATCAGGTGGTTTAATCTGGTGTGCGACCGCCGCCATGCCCGGTCACACCCAACTAATGAGCAATAAATGAGTTTAAAATAAAAAAAAAATTTTTGAAAATGACAAATTGTCTCATAGCCTAAATATGAATTATAGACCAGGGCCAGAATTTGACTATTAATAATAAAAGATAAGCTAATATGCATTGTAAATGTCAGCATTTATCTTTTTTGACTCTTTTTTTATTATTCTTTTAGTAGCTACAGAAATATGTGAGGTTTATCTTTTTATAAAACCTTTTTTTCTCAAAACTTTATGTTGCAAACACTCCTTTTAAATCTGGCCATCATTTTTAATGTTTATGTAATATGTGCATATTGATGCTAATTTATTTGAACAGCATTCTGTGATAACCGTGATCATTTTGGTCACTATAATCATGAAATGGAATTTTCCAACTAAAATCAACTATAGTTATGTGTTTCTACAGTAAAATAGTACATTTTTCTGATTCTGTTCTTTTCTGTGACATTAAAGGATGACATATACAGGCCTACACAGACTCTTAGGTCTAAAACAGTTTTGGATGGTTGTTAATAGGATAGTTATGAGGCGTTATTTAAGAGATTTAAGTATCGTAGCTCTCGGCCACTTTAATTTTTTAAAAGTAGCTCTCAAGTGAAAAAAGGTTGGAGACCCCTGCCCCAGGCAATATTCATGTTGGTAAACTAACCCAATAAAAAAAAAACTCTTGAAACAAATATGATTCCTAACCTTTTCATTTATACAACATTTCATTTTAAATGTTGTATATTTTTACTTACACACATTTGGACACACTTTTTAATGTTTTTGAAAGAAGTCTCTTATGCATCAAGCTTGGATTTATTTAATCAAATATACAGAAAAAAATTAAATAATGTTTTTCCTATTTTACTATTCTTTAAAATACTTCTGTGATGCAAAGTTGAATTTAGTGTCACGTGATCCTTCAGAAAACTTTATAATATTCTGAAGCACTTCTGGTTGCGAAAAGTGCTGTATCTCTGCCTCACGCGCTTCATTGGCGACTCGAAGATCCTGCGCTGGGACAACCAGCGCTTCGTGGAGATCCAAACCCTGCCGTCACGCGGCTCGATGGCCTTCTGCTAGGGAGCGACTATTCCTTCTCTCGGATCTATCTGTGGGACGACCTCACTCAAAGGTTCCTGGCCTTTCAGGAACTGAACATGCTGGCGCCTCGAGGGTTCAGTCTGGTGTCTATTGACAATAAGGATATTCTGTTAGCGGCCAGTTTTAAAGGAAAGACCATGGCGTACCAGCATCTCGTGGTGGACCTCAGTGCCAAATAGACGTTTAACTGGGGCTTAAATGTCAAGAACTGCAACATTTCCACCCCTTTTCTCCATCTGCTTTCACACATGAATTGATTCTGTCATCATTGCTAAATACACTCACACATTAGTTACTATAAGAGGAAGCTATCCTAAAGTGATAGTTGATTTAACTCCCATGATTTACTCACCCTCAAGTCATCCTAGGTGTGTATTAGAGCCCGATCGATAAAGGATTTTGAAGGCAGATACTGATACAAATATTTTTGGGTTTTAAAATCCGATATATCGGCCGATATTTTTTTTTATTAAATATTGTTGGATTTCACACACGTGTAAAAGAAATGCTAACTTTTCTGCACAAGATACGTTTGATACTTTTTCTCTATGTCTAAATGTTCACTCCTCGCAAGTATAATTTACATTTTGCAATGCAGGCACTGTAACTAGAGATATGCTATACAGTAATCATTACTATATTTAGGCAGAAAAAGTTCATTGTGGTTTCCAAGCTCATTAATGTTAACGTTAGTGGTCTTCCACTGATGATAGTGGCATTAGCTAGCTTTGTGGTTAGCTAGTCTATGATGAGCCATAATTTAGCAGTAGATAACATCATACTGCAAATTGTAAAACATACATTTTCAATATAACAGGCCAAGGAGAGATGATTGAAGTGTGTTTCGTCCGTTTTTATTTTATTTTTTAAATATTCATTTATCGGCCATTATAATTGCCGATACCGATATTTTGGAAAATGCCCAATATCGGCCGATAATATCGGTCTGGCTCTAGTGTGTATGACATGCCTCTTTCAGACGTAAATAATCAGAGTTATATTAAAAAATGCCCTGGCTCTTCTAAACTTTATAGCGGGAGTGAATGGCTGTTTCTGTTTCGAAGTCCATAAAAGTGCATCCATCCATCATAAAAGTGCTCCATACGGCTCCGAGGGTTAATAAAGGCCTTTGGAAGTGAAGCAATGAGTTTAAGAAAAAAACGTCTTATTTAACAAGTTACAAAGTCAAATTCTAGCTGCCAACCGGACATACGGATTCCACTTTAGACACTACCATGTCTAAAGCGCAACTTATGCTAGTAATATAGTAATAGTAAAACTGCTAATATTTACGCTACGCCATGATGCACTGCAATACTTCTGACGTCACAATTTGCGCTTTAGGTACAAAACTTTAGACTGCGTATGGCCGTTTTGGCAGGAAGCTCGAATTTTACTTTGTAATATGTTAAATATGAATTATTATTAACCTTTATTAACCCCCAGAGCCGTGTGGTGTTCAGTTATGATGGATAGATGCACTTTTATGGACTTCAAAACAGAAACAGCCATTCACTGCCATTATAAAGCTTTTTTTTATGTAAGTCTGATTGTATTCGTCTGAAAGAGCAAAGTCATATACACCTTGAGGGTGAGTAAATCATGGGCTAATTTTCATTTTTGGATAAACTACCCTTTTAACTAAAAAAAACAAAAAAAACAACATGTTAATATGCAGTACTACTAAAAAAAACTACTACTACCGATTACCCATTTGGGCCTTCAAAGCTAAATGAACATTTACCATATGCATTGCAATGAATATGTTGTATGTTACTCTAATAGGATGTATTGTTCAGCACTTTCATATATATATATATAAAAAAGTGAAATTATATTTTTAGACGGATGACTCCCTGATTCATGATCATCATAATACGAAAATGTCTGTAGGTACTTTTAGAATATAATGTGTTACCAAGAAAAATAACATTTTCATCACTCAGTTGAGCTTGACTGTTAAGGCTTTGCTTTTCTATGCAGATTATTCTCTGAAAATATTGACTACTTGGGAACAATACGCTGAATTACTAATTGGCATGTCATTATAAAACATCTGCTGTCATCAGCATGTATTGCAATAACTGACTGTGGTGGAAATGTAATTTATGACGCGACAAAATAAAGTTGAAATATCTTGCATATGAATATTATTATTATTATTGAATGCAGGCTCTCTGGTTGTTACCATGTCTTTATCACACTGTCTGATTATAAGTGTGCTGTGATGAGGTAAATGGGTCATAATTTAGCTCAAAAACAATCAAAATGAAATGTATAGTGGAAAATACTTACCATTGATAAGTATTTTGTCTTTGACCTTGTTTCAATCCTTTCACCGTCTCTCACCCTCTCACCCTGCTTCATCTGTCTATCTCCATTCAGGTGCCAACAGTGACTGACCATCTGCGCCATGGGACAGTCATCTGAGGCCTGAAGGGGGCAGTGTGGGATCACACAGAAATCTAAACATTTAGTGAATGCTAATTCTGTGTTCAAAAGTCCTCAAAAATGCATGCACAAAGTAGCCAATTTCTTGATTAAAGAAAGATAAGTATAGGCCTACATTAGTAGGCTATGGATTATATAATTTTAAACTGTTGATTGATTTACAAAAAATGCTCCTAAATTTTGATTCTATCAAACAAGGACCAAACTGCATGAAATATGCATGAATATGAGCGCGAATGGTGCTTTATTGTCTCCTCGTGAAGTTGATGATCGTTTAGGATTGTATTTGTATCTAATGATTTTGTTACATTTAAATCTAATTCTATGATCTCTCCAATTTTATCTAAAACTAGGTTTTTGCTTAGCTAATAAGTATTTTGTACAATCTATCCGGTGGGTTGATTGATTTGGAGGTTCACGCTTTATTCAAGATATTTATAACAATATATAAATTTAAAAAAAATGTTTTTTGAGAACTTTTTTGGGTTTATCAACATCACATTTCAATGTTTCCATGAAGCAGCCTATGTAGTAGGCTAGCTACCAACACGTCGATTTTGACAGCATCAGTAATCACATTATTTCTGTGCACTAACAGCAATAACAGTAGGCCTATCAGTATTATTAATACAATAAATAAAAATACATTTTAGACAACTTATTTTGGCAGTTGAGAATGCCGATCCGGTCCGATATTCCGGCTTACAGAGTCTCAAAACAGGTTGCTCATTCGACGAATCGACGTTATGTATATCAAGTCATTTTAATATGGTATTGTGTGCTCAAAATTTTTATTTTGTTTTGAACGTGTTGTTTACTTTTAAAGATTGCTTACGTCTTCAAACAAGCACGTGCCTGGAATGTTTGACGTCAGAGCGAAGACGTCAAAGGAGTAGGCTAGGCAACAGGAATGTTCGGGCGATTCCTCACAGACTGTTTTACAGCGTGATTGTTCGTTTGTGTTCACTTTACTCACGATGCTACCAACCAAACTGGCGGATAAAATCGGTAAGCAGGGGAATCTCCCTGACCAAAAAGTAATCTGGCCCATTGCTCCTGATGGCTATATCCCCAACTCTGTCGTCAGGAGTTTGGCGCCGTTTCCTAAATTCAGCAGATATTATTGTGCCGAAAGGGAGATCTATGTAAAGGCACAAGTAGAGGAAGACAGAACTCGGATCTTGGAAAAGTTCAAGAATTTTACTCTCGGCGAAACGAAGCAGAGTGTACCTGAGGAGACGACCGGTTCAACAAGCTTTGAACCATTTCAAAGTAAAAGGTCTTGGGAGACAAAGACAGGGGTCAAGGTTACACCACCTCGAAGAGCTGCAGCCCAGAGACAACAACATATGCTTCAGGATAGACAAAACTTCCTACAGGAAAATGGTTCTTCTAAAGAGACACTCCAGGCGAACGCTTCTTCTGTTGAGGAACTTCAGACAAATGTTTCCTCAGTAGATGA